GCCGAAAATGTGTCCCCTGCATCGGCAGGCGGACTCTCAACCACTGCGCCACCAGGGAAGCCCCAGCAGGCGGATTCTTAACCATAGTGCCACCAGGGAAGCCCCGCGATGTTGTTTTTAAAGCAAGTTTTACTTGGTGTAACAGTTCCGAGTCCACAGGCCCACCAGGTCATGTTTGTTCATGTAGCCAGTGGCTGTTGGTGGCCTGTCCCCCATGTGCTGTGCCCTTCGTGGTATCCTCAGGGACGTGGATCTGAGTGTCGGTGAGACCGTATCCACTGGGTCACCCCGAGCAAATGAGTTCCCTTCACTGGGCCTCTCGTGGGCCTCCTGCACGGGGCAGGCCGGGCGATTCCTTGGTGAGATTCCCTGCCAGAGGTCCCTGCACTGAGACAAGGATGAGGGACCTTGACCTTGCCAGGGTGGGCAAGACAGTCCCTGGTTCTCAGGAGCTGCTCCTCAGGCCGACTCAGGGCTGTCAGCCCTCACCTTCCACCCAGAACCTGGTGCTCGGTTCCTGGCCTCTGAGAGGTCAGAGGTAATATTTTAGGCAGAAGAGGCCAAGCAGAAGCACCTGCTCGGGAGGAAATGGATGGTCGAGTGAAGACCCTCAGGACCTAAGGAAGAGCACGATGGGGACGTTCCTGGTGGGGGAGACACACGCCTGGCACTTTGCAGGTTTCCATTCAGCCTTCAGCATGTCACCTGGCAAGCACCAAATGTCTAGAACCAGAAAAAATAAAAAGACTTTAAACATTTATTAATAAGCTTCAAATTCCAGCAGAATTAGTTTTCATGTAATGAATTTGTTGATGGTGCTGGATAAAAGAGGGATTCCCATTTTGAGAAATTCTGAAATCCAGTTTTCCTGCAGAACTTAGCAGCCCCTGAGCAGCCTTTCCGGGCCCTTGCCTTGCCTCCTGGGTTCTTTGGTTACCTAATCGCAGGGTGACCTTGCCCTGCGGTGTGGTGGCAGTCCTGCTGCTTCCACTTCTCTGGAGATCCCGTGCTTTTGATTCAAAAGGCAGCTGGTGTGTGTCGGAGTCCGCCCTGTGTCAGGTGGTTCCTCACCATGTCATCCCTGTTTTACAGACGAGGAGGCTGAGGCTCAGAGACCACCTCCAAGCCCAGACTTAAGCCCCGAAATGCTATGAGCCCCGGGCGTGTCCAGTGTGATGGGGAGTGGGGCCGGCGGAGCCCGTGAGCCCCACCCGCGCCTCCGCGTTAGGTCCCGCACCCTGACGCTTTGCCTGGGCTTGAATGTATGTGTTCTGTTCACAGATCCCCGAGATCATCCACTTCTGCTGTGACTTCCTCACGCCCTGGGTGGATGAGGACAACATCCTTGACGTCTACCGGCTGGCCGAGCTCTTTGACCTGAGCCGCCTGACCGAGCAGCTGGACGCCTACATCCTCAAGAACTTCGTGGCCTTCTCGCGGACTGACAAGTACCGCCAGCTGCCCCTGGAGAAGGTCTATGCCCTCCTGAGCAGCAACCGCCTGGAGGTGTCCTGCGAGACGGAGGTGTATGAGGGCGCCCTGCTCTACCACTACCCTCCGGAGCAGGTGCAGGCTGACCGGCTCCCGCTGCATGAGCCACCCAAGCTCCTGGAGACCGTGCGCTTCCCCCTCATGGAAGCCGAGGTCCTGCAGCGGCTGCACGACAAGCTGGACCCCAGCCCCCTGAGGGACACAGTGGCTGAAGCCCTCATGTACCACCGGAACGAGAGCCTGCAGCCCAGCCTGCAGGGCCCACAAACCGAGCTGCGCTCGGACTTCCAGTGCGTCGTGGGCTTCGGGGGCATCCACTCCACGCCGTCCACTGTCCTCAGCGACCAGGCCAAGTACCTGAACCCACTGCTGGGGGAGTGGAAGCACTTCACCGCCTCCCTGGCGCCCCGCATGTCCAACCAGGGCATCGCCGTGCTCAACAACTTCGTGTACCTGATTGGAGGGGACAACAATGTCCAGGGCTTCCGCGCTGAGTCCCGCTGCTGGAGGTAGGGGCCCTCGGCCGGGCGGCTGCCCAGAGGGTGGCTTCTGCCAGGCACGTGCCACTGGTCAACGCAGTCATCCTCTTGAACAGGTCTGCGCCCATTCTGTGGGCGCAGGTTGATGGGAAGAACATGGACGGCGGTGAGATGAGGAAGAGGGCCCGTGATGCCTCCTCCCGCTCTTGTCCCCCCTCCTCAGAAACCCCCTCACCCCTCAGCACACCCCACCATCTTGTAGGTGAGGGGCTGGGATGGGGTGTTGCTGCAGGAAGGAGGGGACCAGGCCTGGGAGCATGGCCACCTTGCCTCTCTCTGCTCTCACACCCTTGGTCCCAGCTTCCCCTCACCTATCCACTTAGCTCTGCTCTCGTAACCGCACAGGCTCCTGGTGGAGGGTGGCTTCCTGTCGCCCTGCTCCCCTGAGTGCACAGTCCTCAGCCTGGGGGACAGGGAAGGCCCACAGGCAGTGCTGAACCTCAGACCAAATTCCCCCCACCCCCTAGCCCCTAGGCCCTGTCATCAGCCGTGTGCTGGGTGTGAGGCGCCAGGGGAGGCCGTGGTTTCTCTCAGTCTGTGAGGCTGGGATCCCACAAATCCATTTCATTGGTCAGAGCAAGGGAAGTGGGGCAAATCTCCACAGCCTCCACTTCCAGGAGGTTTCTAGGGCCCCCTCCCATGTACTTTGGTTTGATCTTAAGGTCTGGTGCCTGGGGGAAGTTTCTGCCCCCCACAAGCTGAAAGATGGCACTGCCGAGAGAGAGGGGTTGCCAGCTGTGGCAGCGGTGAGCTGAAGCCAACTGCGTTCCTGTTCCTGCTCCGTCTTGGGGGTGGGGTCAGGCCTGGCCGTGCCCCTTGGATGGGAGCCTGGGGATCCCAAGCCAGGAGGAGACCCCCGTCCATCGACCTCCTCTGCTCTCCCCACCCCAGGAAGTGATCACTTTTGTCAAACTGGTGAGACCCAGAGCTTGGCAGCTCTTTGTGGTCAAACGGGAGGGGGCCCAGTTCAAAAGGGAGGAAACCATGCCGTCATCGGCTCCCTGACCTGACGCGTCCTCGGGGGGCGTGGGGGTGGTGGCAGTCCCAGGTTCAGGCCTCCCTCCTGCCAGGCCTCGAAGGGCTGCCACTTCCAGCTGGAGGGCCAAGGCCAGATCTTCAAAGCAGACTGTCTAGAGTCTGTCCTGTCATGAGCTGCTGACCTCTGTCTCTCAAACCCGGTCTGTTTCCCTTTTGTGAACATGTGCTGTGAGACCCACCAGAACTCTGGAAGGTGCTGGTGTCAGCCTCCGTGATTGACAACCACAGCCTCAGACTCCACTCGGAGGTTGGGTCACTGTTGGAGGCGGGGTCAGAGAGACCTGCCGGGCAGGCTGCGGTGCGGAGCGGCTGGTGAGCTGTGGGGAGACCCGGGGTCTCATCTCTATGGAGTGAAAGTTTCATTCATCTCCTGGTGGACTCTTCACATTGCCAGGTGGATCTTAATTTGAGTTAAGAGTCTGGTTCTCTGCTCTTTCCTCTCAGTTCACCGCCCTTAGAATGTACAGGCTGTCAGAATATAAGAAAAGAAGATTTTGCAGTAAATTAGCATTTGTGTTTTGAGGAGTTAGGGACTTAACAGGTTGTAGCATGTGAAAAGGTAGCTCTGTCGGAGCACGTTGCCTCCAAGCTGTGACACTTCTTTTTCTTTCCTTGATTGTGTCTGTGTTGCCCACGTGACTAGGGCACCTTCCCACAGCTGCAGCTCTGCACCTCTACCCGGTGGTGGCCAGTCCATGTTGCCACATGCCCCGACCCTACATAGTGTGATAACTTGTTTTTGTCCTTAGGCATTTTCATGACTATTAATATTTTAGAGTATGTTTCAAAAAATGTTCCTAACTGTAATGGACTTCATCAATAATCATGGGAAGGCTTAAGTCATGGAAACACGTGAGAGCAATCACTAAGTTTAATAAGGCCTCAGAACATTCTCATGCCAACCCTAGGTTTCGCCTCTGAGTTTGCAGTAGGATGGTCCAGAGTCAGCATTAAAGTGACTGAAGGATTTGAATCCTTATATGCAATGGTTTAGTTTATTTCTATTAAGAAAAAAATATTACTTGAGGACTTATTCTGACAAAGTGGAAAATTAAACCAATAAAGAGGAAAATGTGGCATACAGAACATGGTGGAGAGATAAGAAATCAGCAAAACTGTGGTTATGTCTGAATTATTGATGTGTGGTGTCTGTATGTATGTGTTTGTGTGTGTGTTTCCTTAACTGACACCGCAAATCCAGATGAACCCAGCCCAGGGTGCTGTGAGGGCAGGAGGCCAGAGGAAGCATCCGGAGGGACTCGTCTCCCTGGTGAAAATGGGGCAGAAGAGACGCATGTGAAATGTGAACAAGCCTTGTGCACAGGAAGGCTGTGGGAGGCGCCTTCCTGCCCTGTGCTGCCTGTCCCAGCTGGACCTCCACCCGGCAGGGCCCGGTCACTTGTTCTCAGGCGCCCTCCTGGCCCTGCTCTGTCCTTCTGTCACTTCTCCTCCCCGGCACCTGTCCTTATGTGGAGACTTGGCTACTCTGCTCCCTTTGGCCTGTTTGCCAACCTACAGTGGGAAGGGGGGCCCTGGGTGCCAGCGCCAAGAGCCATGGCTGGTCCACGTTGGGGGCAGTGATGTTTGTTGAGTGATTCCACCACTGTTGACCTTGCCCCTCCTTCCCTTCCCTGAGCGGACAGTGTGTGATCTGCCCTGAGCCAGGTGCGCCACCAGGTCTGGGAAGATGGACATGGACCACGGTCCTTTAAGGAACCCTTGTCACATGACTTGACCCTCGTGATCCCTCATGGTAGCTTTTCTAGGCAGGCAGCATAACCCCATGGGTGTGGAGCTGAGCGAACAACAGGACAGTAAAACTGATGGCCAGATGTGCCCAGACCTGGGTCTGCATGGCCCAGGTGCCTGTCCTCTCTCTCCTTCCGGCCCGTTTCCTGTATTCTCGGCTGGCAGGGAGGGGCTGCGGCAGGAAGAAGGGGCTGTCGAGTGCACTTAACTTGTTTTGGGGGTGAAAGCTGAAATGGCGTCTGGCACAGGCCAAAGAAAACTGTCTGCTTTGGAGCTGGTCTTACGGTGGAGAAATAAACATTTAGAGAGGCTGTAAGTGTGCAGGGGCCACGCATGGAGTGAGGGGGCTCCAGAGGTCAATGCTCAGCTGCCGGTGCCGGAGTTAGGGGCGGGGTTGGCGGGGAGCCAGGGAAAAGAAGGGTGGACGCAGTAGGGGATGAGTGGGCTTGGGGCCTCGGGCTCACAGGCCCTGGCCCTTGAGGCTCTGTGGTCACCTCTGTCCACTCAAACAGCACACTGGCCTCATGCCCAGCAGGGTGCCAGGCCTGGGGCCTGGAGAGATGGGGCAGGGGGCCAGCCTGGGGCAGGGGCTGAGTATGGGCTTTGAAGGGCCTCAGCTGCTGGGCTCAGGCATGTGAGGATTTGGGTGTGAGCAGGGGCTTGGCTGGTGAGCGAGGGGTGGGATGTAGGGAGCCCGGGGGTCCACGTGGGACCGGTGAGCAGCCAGCTGGAGGTGGCAACGGGCGTTAGCAGTGTGAGAAGAGAATGTGGGGTGGTCGTGGGCTGTCCTGGAGTGGCTGAGAAGACCGGGCTGAAAAGTGAAGCCCTCTGGAGGCAGGAGAGGGCAGGGCTGGGGGGAGGAGCAGCTCCATGCTGGGGGCATAGAGGAAGCTGTCGCATGGGGGTTAGACTCTTTTACGAAGGTTGATGGGGTGAGGTGAAGGCAGGGCTGTGACAGGGACAGCTGCGTCCCCTTGAAAGGGGCGTGGAGGTGGCCCGACATCAGGAGAGCGAGCTTTGGTGATGGTGCTGGGCTTAGCAGAGGTGGGCTTCTCTCCCCTCCCCTCTTCGCGGGCCTCTGTCCTGGAATCCCACTGGGGAGGGCGGGAACTGTACACAGGAGATGCACAGGCAGTGGGGGACGGGGGCAGGTGGGCTGTGATGGGAGCCTGGCGACCAGCCTGAGGGAGCGCTGGCTGGAGGTCTGGAGGCTGTTGTGCCCAGTCGTCCAGTCGAGAGGCCATAATTGGGGGCGTTCCTGATTGAGAGCAGGGCCATGGGGATTTTGAGGTGAGACAGGTGAGATCGAGGTGGCTGTAGGAAGTCATTAGGCAGCTTGGGGTGGACAGTGGAGGGTCTAGAAACCACCGTGAGGTCTCACCTAGAGGGTCTGGCTCTGTGGGCGGAAACACAGGAGGCTCCGGGCCCCACCCTCCAGGCTGGGGGAGGGGGTGCTAGGGGAGGGACTGCTTGGTGACATGCTGTCCTCTGTCCCCACAAGGTACGACCCGAGGCACAACCGATGGTTCCAGATCCAGTCGCTGCAGCAGGAGCACGCCGATCTGTGCGTGTGCGTCGTGGGCAAGTACATCTACGCGGTGGCCGGCCGCGACTACCACAATGACCTGACCACTGTGGAGCGCTACGACCCCGCCACCAACTCCTGGGCCTACGTGGCCCCGCTCAAGAGGGAGGTAAGGAAACCCCTCCCATGGGGCCGTTCTTTGGCTGCGTTGCTTCCTGGGCTGTGTGGAGGGAGTGGGAGGCACGGCCAGGGAAACCGGCCGATGATCAGAGCCCTCTTCCCTCCTTGGACTGTGCCCTAAGATTGGGGTGGGGGACTCCTGAGATTGAGTCAGCCGCCTCAGGAGTGACCCCATTCCCCAGAATTCCACCCCCATCTGGGTCTCGCCACCTTGGCCCGGGTAGCTGCTTTAACCCTGCAGTCAAATGTGGACAGAAGCCATCCCCTTCTCTTCCTCAGCACAGCTGAGATGAGCTGGAACAAGTCCAGAGATGTTGTCAAACCTGAGGGATGCGGGAGGCAGGGCCCAGTGGCCTCAGACCTCCCCCCAACCCCCCCCAACCCCCAACCAAGGACAGGGCCTTCAAGAAGTCAGAAACACTTTAGAAGTTATATTTTACAGGTTTTTATTTTTTAAATCATGTGTTTCCTACACAATACTTTGGTTTGTTCCAGCTTGAATATGTGAAAAATAACATTCATTGTGCAAAAGTGATGCTTTAAGGGGGGGTACCTCTCTCACCTTATGGGCTTGCGGTGCTGAGACCCTGGCCCCCAAACCAGGCATGAGACCCCAGGGCAAGAGGGGGCCTTGCTGGTCCCTGCTGCACCTCGGGTCCCAGTGCCTGTGAGCACCGCTGGGCACCCTGACTCCCCCAGCAGAGAAGATGGCTCTCCTCCGGGCTCCGCTGCACCGGCCCCGAGGCCTTGGCAGGAGCTACTACCTCCCTGACCCTCTTTCCTCTGCTCCCCTCCTTTCCCCTCCTTACCTATCACCCTTTCCTGAGCCCCAGGGCCTTAGACTCCAACTTTGGGAGCCCAGGGGTCTCCCTGATGGGCCCAGCTCCTCTCCACAGTCCGTGAGGCTCCAAGGAAGGCCAAGGGCTCCCACCGCAGTTCCTCCCAGGCAGGGAAAGCCAGCCTGCCCCCTGCTCCTTGGCCTCTCTGGGGAGGAAGTCCCTCTGGAGGGCACTCCCTGTTCAGAAGAGGGCAGGTTTTTCTTGGGAAAGACCAGGGGTCCTTGAGACCTAGTGGGCGGTGGTGGACCCTGAGCTCTGTCCTGGAGGGGAGTCGGGGAGGGGTTCCAGGGGCTCTTTGGACCGCGGGGAGGCTGCACTTCTCAGCGTAGCCACAGAGGGGCAGCCTCAGCTTTCAGCCAGCTTCTCCCTGGTGTCCAGGTTCCTAACTTCCTTCATCCGTTTGTTCCTTCAGCAGCTATTTATTAAGCACCTTCTGCATACCAAGTCCTGGGGATCCAGTGACCAAGGTCCTCCCATGGTGTTTGCAACTTAGTGGGAGAGACCACTCTCAACCACTGAACAGATGAGTAAAGGACCTTGAGGACCGAGCTGAGGGGCTCCGGCAGGATGGACCTCGCTGGACTGTTTGGGGAGGGTCCGTCTGAGGAGATGTCAGTGAGACCAGGTCCACGGAAGACAGGCAGCCATTGGGAGAGGCAGGAAGGACCTTCCAGGCCGGGAGGAAGAGGGGAAGCATGGGGAATGCATGTGAAGAGAGGGTGTTCGGGGAGCAGGGCCAGGGCACTTGGGTGATCTGGACAGAGGCAAGGGTGGTGTGGGCTGTGGTGGAGGCTGTGAGGGATGAGGGAGACAGGCAGATTCGACATGTCGCTTGGAGGTAAACTGACCAGACTTGCTGATGGGTTAGGAATGAGAGGTCATGGAGACTCCCAGGCCACCCGTGTGAGCAGCTGGGTGGTGGCTAGGCCGCTCTCTCAGAGCACAGGTGAGCTCGGAGTGAACAGCAAAGGAGGGGCTCCATGTGGAAAGTGACAAACATGAGATGCTGGGGACATCCGGTTGGAAGCCAGCCTCAGGGATGTCAGCCTAGAGATGGAGATGGGTGGTGCTAGCCATGGGCAGGGTGATCAGCTCAGGAGCAGGGGCGGTGCCAGGCCAGAGGAGGAGCAGAGAGGCAGGGGGCCCATGGGTCTGGAGACGTGGGTGTGCAGCCACTGCAGAGGCCTTCGGGGTGTCTGCAGGGCCTGTAGCTGGGCGGACTCCTTCCTCCCTCCCTCCCTTCCTCCCTCCCTCCC